GAAGAAGAAGAAGAAGAAGAAAATACTCTCCCTAAAAACAAGAGAGAGGCAAGGCATAGTGGTGCAAGTGGTACATTCTTGTAATCCCATCACTTGCAGGCTGGCAGGAGGATCGCTGCAAGTTTGAGACCAGTCTGGACCATATAGTGAGTTCAAGGCCAGCCTGAACTATATGGCAAGACCCTGTCTCAAAAGACCAAAAATAAATAAATAAATAAATAAATTCATGAAAGACTTGTATATTACTAAAACCACATTTCCACATTCATTTTGCTTATCACTTTTCAGCAGCATTCAATATTATTGAACATTCTCTCCTTGGAACTCCCTCCCCTTAGCTTTCCTGATTTTATTCACATTTCTTTGGCCACTTCTTCTCAATTTTCTTTGCAGATACAATGTTCTTTATCTTGTGATTAAATGCAGTAATTCCTCAAGACTCAATTGTGGGCCTTCTCCCTTCTTAGCTATACTCTTTTCTCTCTGGATTCTCTATATGAAAATAATTGTTAATTCCCTATCTCTATCCCTGACTGCTAAGCTGCAAGCCCATAGATCCTGCAGTCAAGTCACTCTACCCATTTAATTTGGATGTTTCAAAAGCCCCTCAAACAATGTATCAAACAAAAATCACTAGTACCTCTCCAACCCAGAAGATACTCTTGGAGCATTCTCTGAGTAAGGAGCATTACCATTCAGGTTATCGCTGCAGGTCCCAGAAACCCAGGAGTCATCTTTTGCATCAAATTTTCCCTCAGCTTTACTATCAAAAAAACCTTCATCATCATCACCTTCTAAGTATTCCTCTTATTTTTTTATTTTTCTCATTATTACTCCAAGCAATAATATCCACTGGAGGAACTACAGCAATGGCCTACTTTAATCAATTCATTATTTCCATTTGCTTATTTTATTTTATTTTTTTAGTTTATTGGTATATTTTAGGTATACAGTACAGTTACATTCATTAATGGGATCTTGTACCTTTACACGACAGGTTGACAGGTCTTGGTTCTCATTTTTTCCCCTGGTTTTAAACAGCAAAGTAACGTGAATCTTTTAAAAACACTCCTTTCACCACAGCTTAATACTCTGCATGGTTTCCTAATGGTCTCAATCTTAACATGATGCTAAGGCTCTACATTTTCTGGCCTGGGCCTCATCTCTCACTCTTTGAGCTCTCCATACCTCAAGATGCTATAGTCCCTTTTGCCACAAGGGCTTTTCATGACTCTCTATCCTGGCTCACTCACCTCTCTACCCATTAAATTCCATCATTTTTCAGATCTCAAAAATCACACTCTATTTCTTTTGGAGTACATTAAATTCCCCATTTATATACTCTCCTCATGTATATTTTTTCATGGCAATTATATATTTGTAAATATATGTTTAATAAAAGCCTAGATAATACTGAGAGTACTTCAGTGAGTTTAGAATAAACACTGAAAAGATTTAAAAATGTAATCAGAATGCAAGTAATGAGTTCGATCCCCGGTACCAAAAAAAAAAAAAAAAAAAAAAAAAAAAAAAAAAAAAAAAAAAGAATGTAAGTAATGAAACTGACTTTTTTATTTCAGTCAAAAGCATTTGTTAGCAAGAGCTTTACTAAATCTGAAATGCTATTTACATAAATACAAACAGCTTCTTGATTTAATAAAATTTTGAAACTTTTATGTAGAGAGGAAAAGAAAAGTTTAATACACACACACACACACACACACACACACACACACACCAGGCTTTCCACTTTGGTGCCTAGAATTAAGGACGAGAAAGCCATCCTTTGGGAAGTCCATAGGAGTACTGTACGTTTCTCGAATATGATGAATTCACTTAAATGTCATGCTACCAGCACCAGATTTGTTAAAAATGCTAAAGCTTTTCAAGAAATGCAAAGCTCTTAATTCATGCAGCTTGAAAGCATTTTTTACAAGTGCTATTTTTATGAGATGTTAAAGAATCCTAAAACTGAGGCTCTAAAGTGCTCTAAAATTTAGCTTGTCTTTGACTACATTTATGTTCTATAGAATGTAATCTGGGATGAAATCTGTAATCGTATTTTTACAACTGTAGTAGGCCACAGGAAAGACTAGTATCTGCTTCACTGAAAGGGTACCAATGGAGGTAAATCAGTTCTATAAGGTGCTTGGCAATTTAAAGGTATAATTAACCACATAATGGCCATAATGAAAGTTTGGATCTGCAAGTTCAGAAAAGACACTAATCAACACCTAATGGAGCTAAAGAAAGAGATATAAAACATGAGTGCCCAGCACAGAAAAGAATTGGAATTCATACGAAAATTCTAAACAGAAATCCAGGAGATTAAAAACATTATTGAAAGTATGGGTAGAAGTAACTAGACCTAGAGGACAGAGGGTTGTGGTTAATGATAAATCAATGAGAGATATCTTAAAAATGACAAAGGAACATGAAAAAGGTATCCACTACCTCCTAGATGATTCAAAGAGGTCTAATTCATGAATAGTTGGAATTAGAAAAAAATCAGAAGACTGCACAAAAGGCATTAAAAAAAAAACCTCTTTACACAATAGCAGAAAAGCTTAGCAGACATAGAAGAACTTTACATATAGATAGATAAGTGAAGCACAGAGAACCCTGAACAGCCATGATCAGGAAAAAACCTCCACAACACATAATTAATTAATACACCAGAAATACAACACAACAGAATCTTAAAGGCTGATATACAAAAGCAATAAATCACCTATTTTTAAAAAAACCTATCAGAATTACAGCAGATTTCACAACACTAATCTTAGCATGGGAAGACACTGGCAAAAGGAGTAATTGAACCTCA